TAACCCGCAGTACCACGGCAAAAGCCGAAGAAGAAGCGGCTCGTCGGAGAAGCATTATAGCCGTGACGGCGGCAAATAAATATCAAATCATTAAATCATTATTTAAAACAACATTAAGGAGACAACAACGGAACAGGAGAAGATGGCGTTCTTTCAATATTCACAAGGACTTGTACCATAGCAGGTCATCATTGTTTGTCGCGGACAACTACTGATATAATATAATGCTATGTAGTATAATAAATGATAAGACACTTGTGCTTTGCTTTGTTTTATTTTATATAAGGTGGTGTAACATTAAAATATATTAAAGTGCACATAAACACACACAAAACTCAAGTACATACGGAGGGAGGGGTTCTAGCCCCTCTGACTAGCATCAGACTGGCGAGTTTGTGATCGTAAGATCTACACAAGGTCAGCGTGAGACTTAAAAGAGACATTAGGTCCCCAGTGAACGGATAATTGAAAGTATAGTGAGTCCGGAATAATCAAATATCTAAATTAATATTTGTGATCATTAAAGTTAGGCAATATTTCAAAGCAATATTTCTAATTAAAAACTGATCATGTGAAATTGGAGTCAGATTGAACACGGAGCTAGACTAAAATTTAAACTAATCCTGATAAATTCAGAAGCGCAAGTAAAAGACCGAATACGCATTAAACCTTAAACCAGGCTGCTGGATTCCGCTTTTTGGGCTGGCGGGTTGGATCCTTACACCCACAATGGTCAACAAAACAACCATCAACTCTGTCATGCCATTTATGTTTAACAATCAACATAGAAATATAAAAAGAGATGTAACAGATATTAAAAGAAGAATGGGCCTGACCTCATAACCCCGAAGAACTCCATTAATGTTCAGATGTTGAATGGGGTCCCAGGACACCTGAATCTCAAAAGCTGTCAGAGCCGTGGCATTAATCCTTCTTGGGGATACGGTAGGTTCTAAGGAAGGCCGGAAAACATCATGTTATACATTCTATCAGTTATCATGCATTGGTTTACCATTTAATCTTTTTATTTCATTTTATAAAGCTGGCAACATTTCAATGTCAAATAAAAAGTCATAAGTTTTTATTCTATCTCTGACCCTTTGAATTCTGTAAACACACTCTTCATGTGTACATTGCTGCGATTACACGAGTCGCACGTTTGATGTTGGTTATAATACAGTTCATACTGTCTCATTCACTGTCTCACAGCTTCTTTTTAAAGCCAACATTATACTCTGACACGTGCAACAAAATAATCTGTCCTGCAATGTGCCGCACAGTTAAAATGAGATGCGATGAAAAAAATTGTTAAAATAAACTTGGGATCCTCATAAAGACTATGCAGAGCAGTTTAGTTTATTTTCTCATTTTACTGTTATTATTGGTTCTTGTGTTGTTACTTCTACAACTACTAACTGATCACTTAATTTTGATTGACAAAATGCTGGTGGTTTTGTGTGTTAATATAACTGGGATGAGACATTACTGCTGCTTTGTTTCAATATTGCTTTTGGGAGGAAATTTTGACTTCTGAAAGAGAAAATATGCTTCCACAGAACAACAAACTCATATAGTATAATAAGCTCTCTTGTCTCAAATAATAGAGGAAAATCAGTTTCTTTTCAATGAGGAGTTTCTCCACTGTCTGCTCTCTAGTAGTTAAGCAAAGTCTAATCAAAATATAATGAAAATTATTATCCTTCCCAATGTTTCTCACCCTCTTCTGCAGAATGTACCACAGCAATCTGGCTGAAGGGACCTTCTCCTTTCTTGTTGTAGGCCTTGATTCTGACCTCAAAAGGGCAGTAGGCTGACAGACTCTCATTACTGTAGACATATCGTGATGACTCCACGTGTGGCACTCTCACCACCATCCATGTTGGCATGCCTTGCTTTCTGAATGCCAGGATATAACCAAAGCCATCTCCATTCTGATACTCCCTGGCCATGGGCTGCAATTCATACCAGTAGAAAACGTTTTTTTGTCTCATTATGGAACAGAAGGTGAGGGTTGAGTAATAAAGACACATTGACTGACCATCTGTTAGCAACTCTACAAACTGATTAAAAAGAATAAAGCAAATCTAATATGAAAATAGAGCAATAGCGGTCCATGGCACTTACAGTCCATGTAATGATAAGTTCATTACGGTTTCCTCCACCTCCACCAAGTCCACTGGGAGCCACAGTGGGTGCTGCAAGATAAATGACAAAATAATAACAAAAAATTGCAAAATAATAACCCACTTATATAGTGGAAAAAATACCCTACTATCTTCCAAACATTTCTATGTGGAACCAAACTTATATTTTATGACAATTTGTTTTTAATATGTGTTATAATTATAATAATATTTCATATCTTATAACAATTTTCGCAATTGTTCTGACCTGATTGTTTGGTTCGGACAGGCTGGGAGGGCATGCTTGGTTCTCCACTACCCAAAATGTTGCTGGCAATGACCTGGAATTCATAATCCATCCAGGGTCGAAGATCTATCACATGTGCAGACTCAGCATTTCCTTCTATGTTCACAGGGTCTGGAGGAACCATAAGCAAACAATCATAACATAATGTATGATGCTCTAATACAAATAGATTTCTCAAACTAGGGTCCTGGGCACCCTTTCTGAAATAGCAAGGGGGGCTGTGGGTTTGACTAAATGTTTTACTTCAAAACAAATAAATTCAATATTTACATTTTTAAGCAATATGGGTGCAACCGTGACTAAAGCAAAAAGGGATCAGAAAAATTAGAAAAAATATAAAGGTACCAAAAAAATTTACATAAGTATATATATA